TTGAGAGTGTATTTATAACCGAGAAATACGAATATAATTATATAAGGTAATGACGCCACATCAACGAAAGACGCAGTGCATGGGTTGCGCCTTACACCACGTGACGCCACATCAACATAAGACGTAGTGCATGGGTTACGTCTTTCTACAAAAGGTGTTAGATAAGAAAATATAACTTAAAAGATGTCTAACAAATAAATATATAACAAAAAATTGATTTTTTTTTTGAGAAAATCGCCACGCTTTCCAGCTATCAGGTGCCTAAAATTTGTTATTAAAGTATAATAAAGCAATAGATTTTCAATAAAAAATTGTGATGATCTTGTAGTTAAAGGAACTGAGAGAGCAGACTGAGAGCACTGCAAAAATTACAGACATTGCACAGTGAAAAACATGGAGACCCAAAACGCAAAGACGTGACGATTTGGGGAAAAGTACAAAAGAGATGACTGTGTGGTTATGTCCATTGTCAGTCACACTGGGAGTGGACATGACAGTACGGCCATCAAATCACATAATACATTTCCCAGAAAAGTCAAGGAGATAGAATGGAAACAATGGAAACCCATTGTTTTTCAGAAGCCTAAAACACCCCCTCCCCCGGAAAGCACTGCCCTCCAGTTATTAATGCCCACCAGATCCTCCCACTACTGACTCTAAATCGGGTATGGAGGGTCTTTACTTTTCCAATTTTTTCTCATCATTTTTTTAAAAGAAGACATTTTTAACACATTTTCATTTAATGAATTATTTGAGTGTTTAAGCATAAGCATGGAAGCGGTGTGGGTATGGAAAATGCCTAAACAAAAGGAAAGAATTGGGGGCCTAAAGGTGGAGCCCAGGTATCTGAGACATCATGCACACACGTGTGTTGCACGTTAATGAATGCAGAGAAAGAGTCACCAGGGAGGAAACAACAATATCCATTGGATATGACATGCACCAAACCAGAGCCAACAGAGTGGAAGATAAGGAAAAGAAAGCATTAGTCAATTAAATGAATCATTTTTTTCAATGAAAAAGTCTGATGCGTTCTCAGCAAAATTTACGGGAGTCATGTGAAAACTCCGACCACTTGAATCAAATCAGAGGCTTTTTCCCATAACAAAAAATTGTTCTTTTGAGGGACAACTATACCTTAATGGCCATTGGACGTTCAACACTTGAAGCATGGACGATGATACTTTTTGTAACTATCAACCATGTGTTTTGCTAATCTCAACTTATTATTCCTAGAATAAACAATAAATATATATTTATATCAACTCATCCCTCTAACTAAACATATTTTGTGCGCATAAGTCACTAGATATAATCATGGAACGTGAAGAACAAAATGATCAAAAGCAAGCAAAAATAGCTTACCGAGTCATGTGAACTTCAAAACTGAAAAAGAAAAAAAAACTAAAAAGGATTATATTGCAAAAAAGATGTTAGCTTGATCGAAGTACAAACCTAGTTGATAACGATATTGACAATAAAAATAATGCAATGGCAGAAATATTAACACAAACACCTAAAAAAAGGCTTATATTGCAAAAATAGATGTTAGGTTGATCAACACAATAGAAGAAAGATTTTCATGATAGTCTTCCTTTCCTTTTCAACTCTACTTTTCTTTGGATTATTACCACAGCAGAACGCTTAAAATTGTTATGTATGTCTAATCAGAAAGATGTTTAAAGTCTGAACCACAAGAACTTCACAAGATGTACAGCAAGAAAATATTCCACAAGGAAAAGGAACCAAAAAAAAGCTAAATCTACCATGTTGGATTATTGCAGCAATATATATATATATATATGTGTGCTAATGTTAATTTGGAAGAGTATTCTGTTAATTTGGAAAAAATTCAACAGCTGACCTTATGTGGAAGTTTTTTTTTAATTAAATAAAGGACAAAGTGGAAGATGATTCTATAAATAAGGGAAGATGTTACAAACAACATAGAATTTCAAATTGGCAGATAACATATCATACAGCAAGAGAACAGCCATGGCAGGTATTCATTTAAACACAAACCAAGCATGTGAATTTATACGAATAAAATCTTCATATCGATCATTATTGAAGACAACATTACAGTGGTTACATGTTTAACGAATTTTAGTTCTTCATATTTTTTTCTCTTTTTCGACCAGAGGATGGGTAAGTTAATACAGTTCTGGCATAAAGTAGCGTGCACAACCGACCAAAGCCAAAGAAAAATAAAAGCAAATGAAGTGATTAAAGATAATGATGATAGCATCATCAAAAAGGTAAATTGTACTTTGAAACAATTAACAATTATAGTTACATCAACAGCTTTTTTCATGATGGATTCCTAAGATTTCTAACCCCAACTCAATAAAGAAAGAATTTATTAAAGCAAAAGCAGTATCAATAACTTAGATCTTGCTCAAGTCTATCCAGTTTACAGCCATAATGACAAAAAAGCAACCTCAATTGGCAGTAAAATAATAGACATGGAAGAAACAAAAGGTGGTTGCAAGTCATAAACCTCAGTTCTAGTCCTTTATGGAAAGTCACCGTGATCTACATTCACATGATCTCAGAAAATTCTTGTGCAAATCAATGTTTGACAATGACAATTTGCAAGCATGAAAAAGATTAACTACATTAACTCAAATTTTCAGAGCTCAGCTATCCAAAACATCTTTCAAGAAGATATAGATGTTGAAAATATATATATTACATTAGCAACATATCAGTGAGGCTCAAAGTAGAAAATTCTTAAAATTCTAAACTTCCCACCATTCATAGGCATGACAACTAATGCTCTATTGGAACTTGGTACGCATTCAAAAGACCAGACCGCACATCATTACAGACCATTATCATTCCACTAAAATAAGGCAAAACATCTTATTTTAAAGAGGTGGATCGAAAGCATGCAAGACACGGAATATGAATAATAAGATTTACTCAATGTCATTGCATGTCTACACGTGTGGAACACAAATATGATATTCAAGGCACAAATAATGACCTTTGTACCCTCGAAACTATGTTATAAGATGAAGAACATGCAATCAGATAACTATGTTGTTAAACTACTAACCCACTGCTGCATCACAAACCTTTCTTGATTTAGTGTACAAAATTTTAACTTGCACTTTATTGCTTTTAATCGGTATTTCTTCTTCTTTATCCTTCTTAAATTCAGGTGTAAATACGAACCTTTTAATCCAAAAAATAATTAGATTATTTCCCAAAACCCAACAATCTATAATCAATCCTACCATAAAATCACGATTAACAATACCATAGCACTTTATACATTAATGCACGTCTATGTTACGCCAACTCCTAAAACACTTCTCAGAAACTTGACTGGCCACACAGGTACGCCAATAGGATCTTAAAAGAAAACGTATAATTTGTCAATAAACATGGCTTACTCGTATTTTTCATTCTATCATCAATCCCAGCAACAACGATGCCGCATCTGAAGCTGATCTTATATTAACAAAAATTAACAAGAGAATAGAAAACTCAATAGTCAACATATTCCAATAGAATATATATATATATATATATATATATATATGGATCTAACAGCTTCTTTATTCCAGGCATGATGGGTTTGATTGACTTGCATGTAACCTTATATAATGAAAAAGATTGTGTTGATAAGGTATAGCATGCACCAGGACCACAGTACGGTATAAGATTACAAAACACAATAGAATGCATTAACTAAGTCATCCTCAAAATCAATTCTTGTGCTTATACAGATTAGCTTTTTTATAAATTAGGGAAATAAGAGTAGTAGCACATTTTTAAATATGAACTTTTGGTGAACTAGATTGCTATTATCACATTTCAAGAAGGCTAGCTCATTAGTGGTGAATCTTGTGGACTCAAGTTCTCAACCAAACCAGACATGCATTTTCAAAAGGAAAATGTTATGGTAATTAGTAGGCAACTGGAGGGATACACTCATTGGACCAAATCCTCATGGTACATCAGAGTATCAGACCAAAACAGATTACTTTGAGAACCAAAAAAAAAGGTTAATCCTGACAATATACTTCCTAACTGGAGAGAAAGAAAAAGAAACTCTTTAGTCCAAACGTTCAATCAACTAAAACGAAGGGCTTTTGTTCTCTATACGTAGGTATTTCCATTATCTAAGGAATTGCATAAAAAAAATAACAGTTGAGAAGATATCATCATGTTCGAACTATCAAGCAAAGCAAATACTATTACGCATGGCACCACTGGACCCTGAAACGTCATTTCAAAATCTCTCAAAAACAAAAAAAGGAGTTTACATTTCAGGCTTCATTTCTCTATGACACGGCAAAAAGGAAGAAACAAGACAAAAATAAAAGATTATCAGCAGGCAAATGCAACCCCCATCCCGGATCATACATAATTACATATTATTATTCGTTTAAGACAATGCAGATAAAAATGGAAGAAAACATGAAGTCATCACTACAACAACATTAGTGGAAAACATAAAAATTCAGATTATAAACACAAGGGGAAGGTTTGGAAAGGAATGGCGGAGAGTAAAACAAGGACACGGGTCAATTTCATCTCTAGGGTTTTCCTTTGTTTGTTAGTGGTTAGAATTATTATTTGACATACTCGAAACTTTGGATTTATTCTACCGAGTTATTGTTTGTGGCCTCCATTAGTGGGTTCTTTTTCAGAAAAGGATAGCTGAGATCTATGATTTATGACTAGGAAAGGAATGGTTATTGCTCATGTTATCATATGCACCGGAAGCCTACAACACTACCGAGTTTCGCCTGCTATAGTTGCAGAGATGATTTCGTTGGGAAATTCATAAAGATTGAGTTTTTAGCTTGTTTAGGCGTTTGGGGGGTGAAAATTTTAAGTGGAGCAGATATTGCTGGTATGTAAAGACTGAGGACACAGATTTTGGAAAGAGCACAGAAACCAAGAACCCAGAAAAAAAAATAAACAAAGAATATAAAGGAATTTATATATATATATATATATTTCAGACAGAGAGGTGGGATGACCAGAAGGACCTCTAATGGAAGCACCGGTGCAGAGATTTCGAAACTGTATTTCAATCTTGTTTATAAAGGTGGTTGCTTCATCAAATGGCCTCGAGAGATCAGATTTGAATTTCAGTAACATATCGCAGTAAGTTTCCTGGAGAAAAACACAGAGAAAGAAAATACATCTATCAATTCATTACATATATAATGAAAATAGACAGAATAAAAAGAGAGCAAAAGAGAAAAAAAGATAAGACCATGAACTCGTCGAGCTCAGGATCGGCTTCCAAGCAGGTTGGGCCGACATCCCGCCTGTTAACGTCGTTCTCCCTCAGAATTTCATCTAGTATACTCGATATTTCCGGTGGCGCCCCGACCTAGAGTACAAAAACGCAAACAATTAAACTTACTTCTCATGAAAATTCCAACAAACACTTTAAAAGTGTTTTCCTGAAATCCATCACATATTTCCCATAAAATCATGGGAATTGATGTAGGAAGAAAAAGGGTTTGGATCCTGGAAACGAAAGGGTATACGAAGTATAGTAAAATAAAAAGCTTCAAGTTCCCAAACCAGTAATATTTCGAGCTAAAATGCTTTTGCGTCAACCTTTGAGAAAACCAAAGTAAACCCTCATTTATGGCGGAAAATTGAAACTCAACTAACAAAAGCAAATGTAGCGAAAGCTTTCTCCTTTATTTATTTTTTATTTTTTTATGAAACTTATGCTGAAGTGTTCTTGCACATATCACCTACACAGTTATATAACATCATAAATAGAAAAGACAAAAGGGGTTTGAATTGGGTGTGTTTAAATATTTCTTTTCACCTTCTGGCAATCAATATAAGCTTGAAGCAAGCGCGGGAAGGAAGGGTGGGAAGCGATTTTGGCTTTAACGACGCATGATATGTCCTCTTCTAGTCGAATTTCAGGGGTGATGGAAGCACCTTCCGATATGGCAGAGGCGGCGAAGATTAACTCGTCAGATCCAAACATCGGAACCCGACCCAACGAGCAAAGCCAAGCATGGTCATCTGATGGGAGGATCGTGTTTTCCGGTGACATCAACGCCTTGTCACCGTACTCTCCCGCGGTGGCGTTGAAACCGTACATTCCATCCATCAAAGCAAGACTCCTTCAACTTAATAAAACCGAGAAAATAAATTGAGGAATAAAGAGAAAGAAAGAAGCTTGGGAATATTAATTATTAATGGGATAAGATAAGTAAACAGGTCTCTCTTTTTTAAGTGGGTTTTTTCAAAGTAAACAGGTGTTTGTATAACAAAGAAGAAATAACATGAATTTCTGGGATTTTGCAACAACAATAATTATATAAAATGAAAGATCAGATTTGCTGGAATTAGAATGGCAGGGACGAACTGGCAGTGTTGTTGGAGATTGTATACTTTTAAACAAGAATCAAAAGAAAGCTCGTCTTTCATTTTTTTTCTTGTTTTATTTTTTATAAAATGAGTTTATATTTTTCTTATTTTTTACAATAACATAATTCTTAAACTAATAGTAGATCATTGTTTTTCTTCTCTTCCTTATAATCTAATTGTATTATTTTTTGATTAATTATTTTTATACGAACATAACATATCATTTTATTTGTTCTATAACATATTTTTATTTATTTTTATAATATATATTTTAATTTTAATTTGACATCATATTTCTAAATCCAGATAATATTCAATTATCATGTTGATTTATTATTATTTTAAATCATCGTATTAAATATTGATAGGCTTTTATAATTATTGAAAATAAATCGTGATTGAATTATAATAATATAAATTTGTCAATGAGATATCACTTTTATATGTATTTTATATTAGTCTTGTAGGTGTTTATCATTCACTACTTATATTTATAATTTGTTTGAGTTATTTCGCTGAGTTTTTAACTCTTAATTTTTTAAATGACTAGTTTGTGTACTTCATTAGGGTTGTTCATAGACTATTAACTGTACCGTTTAGCCTAAACGGTCAGTTAATCGTTATAACGATTACGAAATTTTTCTATTAGTAATCTAACTATTAAGAAATTATTAACTATTATTAACGATTTTATTATAGGTTAACATACGATTAACCTACAGTTAACCTATTACAATTATTTTTAAAAAGTAACACAACATGAAAGTTTTAAAGTTTTATAATTCATACTACAAAAAAAGTGTAGCATTTAATACATAATTTACACCAATGTAAGTGAATAAAATAAAAAAGTGCAACATTTAACACATACTTGCACCGATGTAAATGAATAAAATAAAAAAAAGTGTAACACTTAACACATACTTACATCGATGTAAGTATATATTGTCACAACCGCATTTCGGTTGGGCCCCAGGATTGGGCTTCGACTTGAAAAATGTAGATTGGGAGTCGCCACCGATCATTTATTTAAAAATAAATAGGTTGATCGGATACCCTTGAATCGCCCTTTCGGTACTAAGTAATTTTCCGTTGTCTTAATTAAGAAAATTGTAATTTTAAATTAAAAGGTAAAATTTGATAATAAATTACTTACCTCTGATTAATTGACGAAAATACCCTTAAAAAGTCATAAGATGTCAGAGGAAAAAAAATGAATAAATGAAAAAATGAAGAATAAAAATAAGTAAAAATAAATAAATGGAAAAATAAATAAATAAATAAATAAATATTAATATATATATATATATATAAATGAGTAAAATAGAAAAATAATAATCATAACAATAATAATAGTAATATGAAAATATAATATAATATAAAAAAAACCAAAAATAAAAATAAATAAATATATAAACCAAATATAAAAGTATACATATAATGATAATTGGCTTATAAATAAACTATTTAAAACATACATATATATGTATAATGATAAAGTAAAAAAAACTAAATAAAGATAATTACAATATATATATATATATAGTAATAATATGCTTATAAATAAAATATTTAAAAAAAAGTATATATATATAAAATAATAATAAATATAGTATTAAAAAATAACCAAATAAATATAAATAAATAAAAAATCAATTGAAAATCATTTAAAAGAACATACGTATATATATTTATATAATGACAATAATGTAAATAATAAATAAATAAAAATATCTATACAATAAATAAAAGGACTAATATAAAGAAAAAATAAAGATTCGGCCAAATTTGAAAGACGATTAACGTTGATATTACGCATTAGGGGGATAAAAAATGAACACGCCTCGAGGTAGATCTAGGTTCGAAACTTCGAAACCCCACCCATTTTTTGTCATCGGCGCAACCCACGTTTTGGGTTATTCGAACCAAATCTCAAAAAAAAATAACGTGCACATGCGAGAAATGAACGAATAAAAAAAATGCTACCTTTTATTTCCTTTTCGAATCATTTACAATAGCTTTGCCTTTGTATTTTCCGTGTTTTCCTCTGTATTTTGTCTGTAAATCGTCTACTACAATAGTGAGTTACAATGACTATTTATAGTGCTTATGGATCCTATCTTTAGGAGTTTAAATCATAGTAGAACTCTATCCTATTTTAAGGAGTTTGAATCCTAGCAAAATTCTATCATATTTTTAGGAGTTTGAATCCTAGTATGACGAAAAGGTGTGTTGACATATACATCTCATTATCTTGGTACCTAACAATAAACACATATTTCTTTATTTTCAAAGAAATTAAAAATTAAAATATATATATATATATTAAGTTATTTTTATACAAATTTTATTAAAAATATATAAACTATAAATAATAGAAAATTATATTAATTTATTTGTGTAAAAATATAATAAATTAAAAGCATAATTATAAATTTAATTTGTTAATGATTAACCGTTTGTCAAAATTCGTAATTGTAATCTTAACTGTTAACCATCATTTTTAGCGGTTCGATTAATCGAAATCGTTTAAAAATTCGGTTAACCGAAACTATTTAATGGTTAAGTTAATTAACATGTTAAATATAGGTAAAATTAGCCCCATTGGCCAAGCAGATAAATTAATTGACCCAATAGTCCATCCCCAAAATTATTTTGAGATCTACGACAAATGTTATTTATGAATAGTTTATAATTATGTATGAACTAAAGTGGAAGTTGAAAACAAGGATGTTTAAAATTCACAAACAAACATAAAAAAATACAATCCAAAAACATGAAATGAAAGATAAAAAATAGAGAAGTATATAAACGTAGTTAAAAAATGTACAACCAAAGACATGAACTAAACACAATTATGAAGATTTTATTGTATAGGTCGATATTTAGGAAGATGTGAACAATGCTTACTGTTGTGACCTTCATCTTTACAATGGACACAAAGCTTCGGTAGACCTTGTTCTCTTTAAGGATAATCCATATCAGTATGAATTCGACTAGATTCAAGTCGACCCTTCAACTTCTTACGCAATTCTAAATTTGGTAACCATTATTCAGAACTAGTTGGTTAAGCCAACAAACATCATTTGAGAGATAGTTAAACTCAAAGTTGTATATGTTACGTTAAAATCAAAATTGTATATGTTACTCATAGTGTGCATGATATAACAGTCATCAATATAAGAGTATGAGTCAACATTAGCATGCATACATGCAATGACAACGTGAGGACGTGAGAATCTAAAAGCTTGAAATCAATCGCAATCACACCATCTTCTGTTTAGATTACCAGTGTATGTGACAAAATTGTCACCCTCATATGGTCAAACAAGTGCTTGGAAAATGAAATTAGAATCAAGTTTGGTAAAAATATGAACAAACATTGATGTTGCATGGTTTTGACTTTTGTTCATTACATTTTCCAAATATGGAGCCCACTTTCTCTAATCATTGATTGAACGATCGTGGTATCTATTTGTGCATTTTTGTCTGCCCAAACCTGAAGTAAGTATCCCTAACAATACTTGCTAGATCTCCGACTCATAGTGTTACGATACACCACGTTTCCACTCCTTCAAAAAACAATACCAATAGTAATTGTTAGATCTCCGACTCATAATACAGAATCCAGTTACACTATAAACATCAATTAAGCTATAAACATTAGTAAAAAATTGATAAATAAATTCTCTTAATTTAAACTGGAATAATAGCAAAATTACCCCAATATTTGCACAAATGGTTAGGGGTGAGTGTTTGATCGAGTTGAGTCGAGTAAAAAAATTTTGAGTTATTCGAGTCAACGAGTCATATTTTTATAACTCGGAGTTGACATGGAATTTTTTCGAGTCGATTTTTCGAGTTTCTGTTTAAATTTGATTGTAAATATTTATAATATTATTTTATTTCAATTTATGTGACTTTCTATAACCATATATACAATACAAATATGTTTCTTCATATTTTTTCCATATGTGATATACATATATCATACAAAGTCCAATGACTCGACTCAAACTTGAAAATAAATCCACTAATTATTAAAAATTTTGAGTTATTCGAGTTATTTGAGTTGTATTTTACAACTCGATTTGAACTTGAATTTTTTTAGTCAAGTCGAGTTTATGAAATTTCAACTCGAAGTCAATTCAAGTCGAATCTAGTAGAAAAATTTGATTTTTCAAGTCGTGTCGAGTTTTGATCACCCCTATAAATGGTCATTTTGTCCTATCATTTTTTGGAGCATTTAGCCCCTTAATGTTTTATTTTAGAACTAAATGGCCTCTAGTTTGATGAAAATCATTAGTTGACGAACAATCAATGTTTCCTATTGATGTGATAGGTCCACATGTGATGTCACGTCAACAAAAATATTTTAAAAGTAAACTATAATTGTGATTAATTACATATACACTCATAAAAATAATTTAAAAATATTTTTTTTGACATTACATCATATGTGAACTTGTCATATCAATAGGAATCATTGATCGTTAGTTAACTAACGATTTCTATCTAACCAATGGGCATTTTGCTACAAAATAAAACATTAGGGGCTAAAATGATTTTAAAAAGGATATGGGGGCAAAGTGACAATTTATGCAAACATTAGGAGGTTATTTTTTATGCCATTTAAATTTTATTAAGATTTTTTTTTAATTTTTTTACCACATGCCTACTAGTGATATCGATCCTCGTCCATACATTAATTTTTGTTGCACCTGTGACGCCAGACAGAATAGTGATTATCCTACAAGCGCTCCAACAGATGATTCACAAGAGAAAATTCGCCCAAAAAAATCAAGAGAAAAAAGTCTCTAGGGTTTAATAAAATATTATCAAATAAAACAATGCCAAAATCAGT